GGTGGTGGTGGTGGTGGTGGTGGTGGTGGTAGTAGTAGTAGTAGTAGTGGTGGTAGTAGTAGAGGTCATAGTAGTCGTGGTAGTGGCAGCAGCAGCAGCAGCAGTCGTCGTCGTCGTCGTCGCAGCCGTAGTCGTAGTCGCAGCGCTAGTGCTAGTGGTAGCGCTAGTGGTGGTGCTAGTGCTGGGGCTCGTGCTATTGCCAGTGCTGGTGTGCGAGTTCCAGTGCTAGTGCTAGATAGTGCTATAGCGCTAGGAGGAAGAGCTATTTTAATACCAGAAGTACCAGTACTAGTAGTATTATCATTTGCAAGTCATTTCCAGCAGTAGCTGTAGTAGCAGTAGCAGCTGGAGAAGAAGAACGGGTAGGAGAGCAAGTGTGAGTAGGAGGATTGCGAGCAACAGTACTGGTCAAGATTCAAGATCGTGCTGGTGGTGGCAATTTTCACAGCAGCACAGCTTTATCTTTTTCTTGTCTCGCCGGGCACCAGGATGTCAGACGTATTGCCATGATTTGTTGGGCAGGTTCTTACAGTGTTTCTGATGCATCTCAACAAGGGCCGTATGTGGCCTCACGTTGAGCGAAGAGGGTTTTTACATATTTTCCTTGCATTGCAATGATGTTGCCGGCGTGGTGCCTTGCAGAGTGTTCCACTTTTCACTCTGGCTTTTTTGCACTGCAGTTGCGAGAACATGGCCGCAGCACGGACAGCATGCTAGTGATGCTAGTGGAGGACTGCGACGCAGAGAACACATAACTATGCTAATGCAGCCACCACCTTACCTTGCTGCTCAAGCTTCTCGAGCTTGTGCAATGTAAAGCTGTACAGAAGCTGCAATGGGCTTTGTTGCCAGGTGAAGTTCGTGCTGTACCATCTGCTGGCAGCTTGTATGGAACGGGAGATGTAGGACTTCGGAACTGGCTGATTGAATTCGGGTGTCCGTTCCGATTTCAAGGAATTCGGACGTGAATCTGGCCTCTTGATTTCTCCATATCAGCTGCAAGATGCTGAATGCCAGATCCAGACTCACCGCTCTGACAAGCGCCGCTTGACCCGTACCTCGCAACCCAGTAATGCTGAAACGACCTGCAGCAAAGTACCAAGGAGGATCCAGGTACTACATGTCGTGACATTTGTTCGTCGTTCACAAATACGGTCTGCATTGGCACATGTGTAAAACTCCATGCCGCCATTCCTAAAACATCGTCTGCATGATTCGGGTAGGGTAAGGAGATGAGATTAAGAATGTAAAGCAGGCCGTGAGTAGCATGCTCCAAGGCATTTTAAAGGACCTGCACCACGGGCTCTTCGGGCTTTGACAACTTCCGGTTGTCCATTCGCTTGATGACACATCCGAGACGGAGGTGACAGCGACACAAAGAGAGAACGGTTGCGACCTCTCGTGCTGGGCCCAGGTGGGACTCAAATATCTTCACTCTGCTGGTATCTATCATCGCGACCTGAAGCCATCCAACGTGCTTGTAAACCAGGACTGACCGGCTAATTCTGCCAAAGTTGCTGGAAGCACGACCCACACTGTCCTCAGGACTGCAACGTGAAGATTTGTGACTTCGGCACGCCTGCCTGGCTTATGAAAATGCGGGAAAGCCATTGAGTCGCCCGTCGCCAGGGCTGGCGCGGGCCGTTGGAGAAGAGTGCGCGGATCATCGGGGGGAGCGCAGCGCGGAGTCAGCCGAGCGCGCAAGCACTTTGAGGCTGGATGAGGATCAGGATGAGCACAGCGACAAGGAGATGCATCTTTCTTGTGCGACCGGGCCATCCATCCGGTTGTTTGAAGCCAGGCCGTCCGAGTCATGACGCAGCATGTCGTCACTCGATATTATCGAGCGTCCATGACTCGTAGCATCGTAGTATCTCATCGTTGCACGGATCCCATCGGACTCGTGTCGAGGCCTGAACTGATCCTCCTCGACGATTACACCGAGGTCCGGCCTTTCGCAGAAGCAGAGTCCTTCAGCAGAGACGCTCTGCCTCGCCGCGCGTGGCGTGGCGAGGCCATCGATCTGTGGTCCGTGGGATGCATCGCCTTTGAGCTCGCGGAGATGATGGAGCCAAAGCCTGCAGAGGCCGCCCGCCAGCGCTGTCTTCCCGGAAACGAAGACCGGTGCGATAGCTGATAGGATCTCATAGGCGATAGGCGATGGCGATACTGTAGGCGAAGGGTGACTGGATGCTGCAACCGCTGGAGGACCGCGGTCCACTGTTTCCGGGATCGACTTGCTATCCCTTATCACCAGACTGTCAACACAGACATGCCCAAGTCTCAGAATCCAGCACGTTCACTGCAGCCAATCAGGATCGCTTCATGTTGCAGTTCCCAACAGGATGTGGCGTTTCACTCCAGTGGATGCAAGGAGCAGCTCAACATGATTTTTGAGGCTTCGCCAGCTACAACATTGCCATTCTTTCTTTGTGCAAACTGTATATTGTGCAGTGTGATGGGCATCAAACTGTATCAAATACTTGTCTAGGCCGAGGTTTATTAGGTCTCTCTACCTTACCATCTGCTTGCACGAGCCTGGGAATCGCCCGATGCAAGCAGGGCCCACTTGCCACCTGTAGGCATGTGTTTTTCTGCCTCGCATTTGCCATGTCGTCCGAAAGGTCATCGGCACTCCCTCGGAGCGCGATGTAAAGCTTCTCCGAGAGGACACCGTCGCATTGCTGATGCAAAAGTGCTTCGGATTCGGCTGCAGGACGCCCGCAAGTACGTTTGCTGCTTCCAGCCGCGTCCGATTCCAAGAAGTCTTTGCTTTGGCAGCAGTGGATGGCGAGAAAGGGCGTGGGGCGGAGCTTGGATGAGCTTGGCAGAGTCTTTCTTCACGCTAAGCGGAGCGGAACTGCGGAGCGTAGCAGAGCTGAGCAGAGCTGAGCTGAGGGCTCGGATGTGGAGTCCAGCCTCGCCTACCAAGTGCCGCTCCTTCCCTTGCCGGAACGTCAAGCCGGCACTATTTCCGTGAAGTGTGGTCAACTTCTCAATGCCTCCGAGGTTGAAACCATCGACAGTCTGCTACGCTTTAATCCTCAAGAGCGAGCAACTGTTGAAGAGGCGAAGTTCTGAGCCGTGCAGATTTGTTGGGCCTGCTCCTCGACATAAGTGAGGTGCTTCTTCGCCCTCTCTTTGCAGAAATTCGCGACCCCGGAAAAGAGGCACGTCGCCGTCAGAAAGATGGAAGCGTGCTTGCCCCGGCTTCACGCTCAGTTCATCAGCTAAGGTCGTGGCTCGTGGCTACATAACTCTGGAGTTTGACCAGGACAACAGAGAGAGCGCGCGGGCTTTGCTGTCTCTCCTCAACTCCTCAACTCCACTCCTGCAGAGGAGCCAGATCTGAGTGAACCGCAGCTGCGACAATGCTTCAAGCAGGCCCCAGCCGGGCGGTGCGATCTGCAGTGCACGGAGGGCTTTGGGATGGGGGCTGGGCTTGCAGGAGATTCAAAGCTTTCGGCGCGCCTGGGCCGTGGCGGGGGGCAGCGGATGTGCTCGAAAGCCGTCCTCGTGTCTCTTAGGCCAGAGCTGGCCGCTGAGGCCCGAACTCCCGCATAAGCGGCTTGATTGGGGGCATCACAACACTTTTTTCTTGCCGTGGGCTCTTGGGATTGGGCTCTTTCTGCTTCAGTGCTTATGGAAGTCCTAGCCATGGCGCGCATGCGGGGTCGCTGCAGAGCTGCCTTGCTGGCTTGTGTCCCGGCTTTGAAGTCCGCTATTCCAGGACAAGCAATCACAAGCATAAGAGCTGAGTTGTCAACTAGCCTTTCGCCGATGGGTTCAACTATGTAGCGGCGTGGACAAGGCCTCCTTGGCAGCCTTCTCTGCTTAAACCCTGTGCCCTGGCTGCACCTTGTCGCACCCTTTCACATTTTCACAATACATCATGAAGCACCGTCTGTGGGTCGAGGAACATGTGAGCGCAAGTGCGTCTGCAAAGATCTCACACGAGAAGCTGCATGCAGCATGGAATCAGGCACCGGCTTCCGTCTGCTGTGCAATCTTGGTCGTTCCAAATTTTGCGCGTGGGCCCATGGCTGCCAGGCATTGACTGGGGCGTTGTATGCACCAGAGGAGCTGCCCGATGGTCCCCTGGCACAAGAGCTGCCTGCAGCCTTGGGCTATTATGGAAAGCACCTTTTGGGGACTGTCGTCGGGCCGATAAAAAAGCAAGTTGAAGACTTAAGCTCACTTAGAATGGCCTTGAAACTTTATGCGCCAAGCAGAAAGGAGACAGGTTTGAAGGTGGACATGAGAACTCCGAGCCCGGGGTGGCAGAAGCTGAGCTTGCGGTTTCCGAACTGGAAGAGCATCGGCTAAGGCATGCTGGCAGAGGAGCGGCAGTGCCGCCGCTCCAAAGGAGACCTTCGCAGGGCCTGGGGCATGGCCTCATGTGGAGCAACTCGATTCCCTGAGGTGGGCAAAACAAATCAGCACACTCGTGCTGTGCTGCTCTGTCGTTCTCTGTCTGCTTCTGGTAGGCATCAGAAGTGCAATTTGTTTGGAGGCGGTTATCCCTTGAGCGTGGCGGTGGGCTCCTTACACAGGTTTCCGACAACAGGTTTGTTCGATTGATTTTGCAGCTTCAGAGTCATGCTCGCATCAGTGGGTCGCACTACACAGAGGTTGTCGCTGATGCGGCAAGAACTGCATGCCATACTTGGATGTGTGGCTCCTCGGGTTGGGTAGCGGTGCCCTCAGGCGCTGTAAACAGCGCTTGGTATTTCAAGGTGCCGGACCATCGGACGAGTTGTGCGTTATCAGTTTAAAGCAAACTGCTTTACGATTTGCACTGTGTGACAATACGGTGGGGCACTCTGTGTGAGCTGGCACTTCCTTGCGGTGTTTTTTGATTCGATAGGCTTCGTTACCTTCCGAGAAGTAGTTCGCTTCAACCAAAGTCAATCGAACCTTGGAGTGGCATCGATGAGCTGAAGCGGCATGGAATTCGAGTTCGAGGGATGCTGTCTTTATGTACCCATGGTCCCTTTAATGGACCTAATCTCTCGGATGCTGTTAGGCACGGCCGCTCCGGCATCCAAATACCTGCCGAGCACAGGCCAAAGATTTGATTGACATACTGCCTCCACGGCAGCATACAGGAGCATTTCTGCCTGGATCGTCCCAGCAAGCAGAAGCTCAAGAGGGTAGGGTGCGATGCTTGACTTTCCACTCGCTGGGACGACCTGCAGCGTTTAAGTTGCACGTCTTTGCTCGCCTACAGAATGGCAGCAAATTCAGGGTCAGATTGTTGCAAGCATGGAGGCGGTGGAGATGCCGTTTGCCACGATCAAATCTCATTCTGGATATTTGCATCCTTGTGCAGTGTCTTGGTGACCATCAATCCCGAACTGTGTCACGGGAGGTACGCAGGGCGACAATTGATTCTCCGGAAGTTTGGCAAGCCGCTGGTGACATTGAGCATACAGGCTGTCTCCAACACTTTTGGGCGATTGTCAGAGGTTGCTGTCCAGTGTCCAGGAAAAGTTCTACTGTACAGGAGCGAATTGCAGTTAGATACAAGCTGCAGCAAAATGCAGCGTTCAAGGAGGGCAGTGCTTCTTCCAATCAGCTTGGCAAAACAGAAGACCAAGGATTCTGTGTGGCAGACAAGCGAGAGCAGCAGAGACTGCTCCATGCCTGGTCTCTGGCCGCTAGGTTTTTGCGTAGGCAAAACTGCGCTTGACTTTTCAACAGCGCTGAATTCATCGATTTGGCACCCAGCTCTCGATGGTCAGTGTGCTGTGTTGTCTGTGTGCGTGCAGTGCAAGACTTTACGAGCAGAGGGCTGATTCCCTCAGAGAGGGTCACGGGCAAAGGACGTTGAATGCAGGCTAAGGAGCCCTTTTCGTGCGTGTGAGGGTCTGTGCGATGAGAGATGATGAGAGTTTGCCATTCGATGTCCGATGCCGATGCTTGCTCGAGACTGCAAATGAACTAGTGACAGAACAGGGTATCTAGTCAAGCCAGCAAAGTGCGATCTTGAAAACGCATTTGTTCGCAACGGAAGCAAGCCAAAAGACTGATTTGACGAAACCATGCCGAGCACATCGATGGTCAGCCCCTCGCAGGACGCCAATCCGAGCAGACATGTCAAGTTCTGCTTCGGTTTTAGCTGCGAGGCAGATATGCAGTGGCGGGCGCGAATTGGCTCGGAGGTCCACTGGGGGTGCTCTCTGTGTGTCTCTGTGTGTGTGTGTGTGTGCGCGCGCGCGCGCTCCGAGTGGAGTAAGGTGCAATCTCGCATGCGCTCTGTTGAAGGAGTTCTGGGCTACCTTTCCTCCGTTGTCCCCACGGCCGGAGGTTGGTTCCGGAGGCAGCGAGAGAAAAAGCTGGCGGGGAAGCGAAGAAAATGTCGTAAGGCACGATCCTCGAGCCTGCAGGTCTGGTCCCCATTCGGCTCAATGCATCGCTGCGAACCATCGTTGGAGCACGACCAGGCCGGGGCATAGACTCAGGCCGTTTTGGCCACACGCGTCCCAGATCCTGCGCAGGTCCGGAGCAGGTACAGGTCGCAGGCCGATGACCCAGCCACGTCGGCCACCCATCTCACTGATTTCTTTGACGGCCGAGGCGAGAAGCGAGTTGCACAAAAATCTTGCAGGCCATGCTGAATCCAATGTGCATGCAGCACTCTGTAGACACCTGGTGATGTGGGAACGTGCCGGCAGCCGCCTGTCTTATTTCGGTCCTGTACGCACACGCACACGCACGCACGCACGCGCACACACGCACGCACGCACGCACGCACGCACGCACGCACGCACGCACGCACGCACGCACGCACGCACGCACGCACGCACGCACGCACGCACGCACGCATGCACGCATGCACGCATGCACGCACATGCACACAGATCTTTTAGGGTCAACGTATAGTCGACGAGTAATCCATTTCTGGAGAAGATCTTGAGGGGAAAGAGGATGATCTTGAAGGGGACGAGGACGGGCCTACCTTGGTATCCTGAAAAACCATCCTGAAAAAGCCTGACATTGACAACTCAACCCTCGGCTTGCCAGGTTTCTCGGCTTTGCCTGGTGGCCATTTCAGAGAAGATAGCAATGGCAGGTATGCACGAAGAGGGCTCAGGATGGTAGTCTTCGTTGGGCATCCAGCTCAGGTGATAGGGATGCCTAGGGTTTAGGAGTGTTTAGTAAGAGCAAGTGAATGCGAATGGCAATGCGGGTCAAGACTGGTTGCCGACTTATGATGCTCTGAGGCACAGTGTTGATTGTCGTGATGGCGAAACCTTGAACCTGTTCGGGGAGTCTGTGAGATTGAGTTTCACCGTGAAAAGTATGTCTGAAACTTATGCGTAATGGTCGAAAGGCAAGCACACCTACACACAGGTCACGAGAAATGAACGTAGCACACTGCGGCTCCGTCAACACCCTGGCCGCTGCTGAATCTTCGTGCTGCTTGGGATTCGGAATTTACTTACACCTTTCGCTCATAGCACGTCCTGCATAGCCCCTTAACCGTTAACCATGGAAAGCTTTCGGGAGCATACACGTCTAAAGGCGTGATCAGGTAGGTCCCCCTACTGTCTGAAACAAGCTTGAAGTGGTTTGTGCCGACGATTAGCTGATGCTTCAGCTTCCGATCTCCTGCTTCTGAAAATTCCGAAACTAGATCTGATTCCTGTCAAGAACATGTTGCATGAAGTCCTTGATCAGTGCTGTCACTCATGTTGACTGATTGAGTTGAAGAACATATGCAACATGCAGCAACATTGCTTGAGCATGCCACGACACTGAAGCAGATGCAGGAGGGAGGCGTTCACACCAACATGTAGTTCAACGCGGCCCTGTACCTGCTTCCAGCCCAAGATCAGCAACTTATAGTGATGCGCTCTTCCGAAAAGATTCTGTCCTGTATACGCTCTGCTCAGCCAGAGCCTGTGCTGGGTTGCTTTAGTACATGCTGTACGAGCTGGAGTGTACTCGAAAAACGCTTTTGGGGACTTTGCTTCTCTTTCACAAGGGTCACCATGCTTACGCAAAAAGTTTAACATGAGCTGTACTCTGTTAGGAATGTAAAAGTCATCGTCAAGGACCTTGGTTGCGTCCATGTGCCGAAGAAACTGCCTCTTTGGACAAGGGATGAACTTGACAGGTATCTTTCTCGACCCATCTTTGTTCTCACCCAACCTCGGAAAGCGACGCTTCTTCGCTGGTGGCACAAGTTTGTCCTTCCTTTCCGGTGATGTTTCCACCGGGACCTTTGTTAACGAAGATGGCAAACCTGGTTCGTCATTTGACGTCCTGGACGACTTATCGGAATCAGCTCCATGTTCGTCGTCTGAACTGGTCGATGAAAACGGTTCGTAGCTGGCGCCGATGGACACTGAATTGATTTCAGCTGTTCGACTGGTGCCTCACTCAAAATCCTCTGGAGTGCGGGGACGACTGTCGAGCGAAAATGGTTTGGCATGCGAACCAGATAGAAAAGCATTCTCTGAGTCCGACATCATGTTAGCTGCTATGTCCCGCCTTGACAAACCTATGCAAAGGAGAAAAGAGAGAGATGCAACCCCTG